CCAGCAAACTCCATGTTTTACAGATGAGTTACTTTCTTTTTACCTATGCGCTAACTGCTGACTGAGCATAATGTCCCGTACCCCTCCGTTCTCATTTTATAATTAAATGCTACTACGCATCATAAAGAAATTCTACAATATGTCAGCTTGTTTGCTCCATTAGACCACGCCAAGATCAGGACCTCATCGGGCATGTCCCACATTTACTCCTTGAATGCATTTCAGAAGAAATACTTTACTAGCTAAAGTGCCAAAGCTCCGAATGCAAATGACGGGGAAAGTGAAGGTGCAGTAACGACTGCTGGAGGCATAAGTGGGCCTATGGCGGTTTCCGGGGAAGGGGAGGGGGAGGGGACGATTTGGGTTATTTTCCTCTTCTCTCTCATAGCGGCTACGACCGGAAAGGGGGTGGTGGGGAGGAAAGAAAGTGGGGCTCCTGGGAGGGGCGCGAAAGACCTCCCTCCCCCTCCCCATGGATCCGCCAAAGGCTGGAGGTGACACACATGGGAAATGTCGAAGTAACTATACAAAAAACGTTTAGGTTTTATTATTTTGTTTCTATTCCCAAGCTTTTTTTTTATGTTTATGGTTAATTGACGCAGGGGTAAGTAACTATGCCTTTCGCCAAAGGTCGAGAGTTCGACTTCCTCTATCATTCTCTCTATGATTCGTTCGTTCATTGTGATTATAAATTAGTGCTAATGCATGCCAGGGAGCCGAAGCCGTCACTAATTTGCTTATAATCATCGTCACAAAGGGGATGTCCGCTGTCAACGTACACCCCAGCAAATTTGGATTCAGCCTTCATGCACTCCTGGATACCACGTACAATCCAGTGAAAGTTTTGCTAAGGAAATTATTATCTCGCGAAGTGCAAAAGCTAGAAAGCTGAAATTTTAGTGTGGTATCCCCTGCCCACGTACAACTTCGCAAATTTTCAACGTCCCTGTGGAAATTTGGGCGAGGAAAATCATTATCTCGGCAGCCCGAAGAGTTAGGAGGCAAGAGAATGTTTCCTGCTTAAACAGAGGCCTCAAAAACTCGAATTCAGTTACATAAGTGTGCCAAGGTTTCACCTTCGACCACGTGAAAGTTTTGTCTCAGAGATCAGTCGAAAATCAGAAAATTAGGAGATTGAAATTTTGAAAGGATATTCACCTTTCGGGGTTTTAAATTCAACTTCCACGTGCCAGGCGTGAAATATTTTTTTGAACTGTTTTTCAGCACTTCAACTATTTTTGCACAGACCAAAGTGCAAAGCAGTGAAAACCATTAATAGACAACTGTTCGGTAGACGGATATGCACAAAAAGGGTCTTTCGCCCCGCCCCTTGGACATGCCTACGTGAGCAAATCTACGAAGTGTAGGTGTTCAAAGCATACTGTAATACTTACCTGATCGGCTGCACGTACACGACCACTGATGGATTTTGGGCGGCGAAGCGTGCCAACAGGCCTTGGGCGATGAAATCCCTCACGCCGGCGCTGCACTCATTTTTGCGGCAAAATCGAATGGTCAAGCGATGCAGTTGCGGGATGTACGTTGTGACAGCGTTATTGAACGGCGTACTCGGGAAACCGTTGATGCGCCAGCCATCGTTCAGATGCATCGCCGCCGTGTAGCATATCTTGAGCCTGTCCACACGCGGTTTCGATGGCATCTCCTGAAAAAAAATAAATAGCAACGTGCACCAGACTAGCCGATGCGATCATGAGTTTTGCACAATTCCGCCCACCGAACGATTGGCTATTAATGATTTTCACTGTTTTGTGCTTTAGTCTGTGCAAAAATAGTTGAAACTTTTAAAAAAAGTTAAAAATTTCACGCA